TTCTTAGAAATCCATTGTTTATCTGACCTTCTCCTAACCCATTAGAAAAATTTCTGGCGATATTTTCCTTTCTCAGTTTAATGCTTTGAAGCATTACACGCAAAATTTGGCAGGAGGCAGCTTTCTGTTAGGAAGACACATTGCACCAGCTCTCTAAAACTGTGCTCAAACTTGGCCCTGTTACAAGCCCTTGAAAACCCAGTTTGCGTGCGCTTGATGGAGTTCGCAGTTTTTCAGCTAAAATTCCCCAGAGAGGGCTGAAGGGAGCAGGTGGTGGTTATTGCTGGCTGCCGGGGGCTGGCAAGGGTGAATGACAAGTGCAAAGCTGGTCTCCTCCACGCTCCCCTTGTCCTCTTCCAGCCCTGGAACAGTCGGGAGGAGAGGCCGCCCGAGTGAAGGCAAAACTGGTAAAGATGGATGGTGAGCTGAAAAAAGGAGGTGAGGGAAGGACCAAAAAAGTAAAAAAAGTCTGGGACCGGGTGGGAGATGATGTCTTCTAGGCTCAGAAGAGGCCACTGAGGAGGAAAAGTTTCTGGGGTCTCCACCAGCCCAAGGCTTGCCGGGGAGATGGACAGGCAGGGAATGAGAGCAGCAAGCTTCCTGCTGAGCCTTCCTGCTGTTGCGAGAGGCTTCGCTCCTCCAGAATGAAACATTGTGGAGGTTTGGATCCATCTAACGGTGTTAGGGGGAAAGCAGGCAGCCTGCTGAGATCTGGATGAAAAATTTCTGAAAGCTTGAGGTAATAGTCATGTTATGTGCTTCCTGGCTGTCTCCAGTATTGAAGCAGAGAGGGAGAGGAAGAAGAGTGGTTTTTTGGCCATTGAAAGATTTTCACTGCACCTCTGTGACGGAAGGAGTATGTGATGCTGGGTAATTACTCAAACAGCACTTTTCATAAACAGGCACTAATCTGTGACCAGATCAGGGCCCAGGGTGCCAAACTTGCGATTCTGCAGGAAGATCTGCAGAAGCCACTTGCAACCCCAGTCAGGAGCTGGGCACGGGGCCTGGACAGCTGTGTGTGGCAGTCAGGAGCCATCAAACCCAGCTTCTAGGCTTTTCCTAGTGGGTACCAACACTTAAAAGGTCGTTTGAACTCACGTTTCCATTTTCTCCACTGGTGGCACCTCAGACGGATGCTGTGGGTACAGCAGACTGCCTGCTCTGAACCCACCTACTCACTGATGACCATGGTAGAAAAGCCCAACAAAACCAAATCTGCCTTCTGGGCAGGGTGCAAACAGCAGGTGGCAAAATAGGCTTTGAAGCCAAATACTATAATTAAAACAAGATTAGTAAATAATCATTATCTATCCTCCGCACTGAATAAAGGGAGAGTCCTTCAGAAAGGAAAAATAGCACGAGATTGCAATTAAAGATGACCTTACAGAAAATATGGACAAAAAGGCTCAATTAAAATTATGCAGGCAACTCTTGCATTACATCACTTCTGGATGCTTCGTTTTGCAATATTAATAAGCTTTTTCTTAAAGCTGCCTGTTTGTGTTGCGGGTTCTCCGGTCAAAGAATGAGATGTCTGCATGCAACTTCTGTAACTTCTCTTAGCTCATCTCTTAATTGACTGTTCACAGTCACAGTCACATCCACCCAGCACAGCGGGGCTGCAGCTTGCTAAAATTAATATGTATGGATTTGGAGGATTTCTCTCCTGACTTGAAAATTGCTCAAAATATTACTTTCTTGAAAAGAAATGCAAATGAACATCTTTCATTCTTCAGAAGGATAATTACCCTTTTCTCATTCTCTGTCTTTCAGAAAGAGATTTGTTGTCTATTGTTTCTTTGCTTGCTTTGAAAAACTGTTCTTTTGAAATCACCTAAGCTATAGCACTTGCTCCAGTCCTTTGCAGGAGCAGCAGTCCGTGCTACCAGCCAGAAGTGGAGGAGGTGCCTGGTTTGCAGCCTGAAGGGGGTAAAGGAAAAGATTGTTCACCCGGAGACCTTCTGGAAAGGTATAAATTTGGGTGGTGGTGGTGGTGTAGTGCTGTCTTTTTCTTAAGCTGGTGCATTTCTCAGCTTGCAGCTTTGTTGCCTTATGTCAAGGTCAAGCCCCAGGAAGAAGAGCAGCTGGAGAGTTGCTCTTCTGATGGCTTTTCAGGGCAATGTTCATTAAAAGTAAATCCACTTCCCAAATTCCAATCAGCCATCCTTCCCACAGCCCAGAGTTGAGTGATGGGAGTCCGACAGCCTTTGGCTCTAGCCGAGATAAGCAAAAAGGAAAGAATCCAGACGGATAGTTTTCAGCTGAAGTTTGTAAAGTTGGAGCTCAAAATAAATTGGAATGGGCAGGGTAACATCCTTTTACCAGTGGGGTGATCAGAAAGTGTCCACTGTTGTTCTGGGTCCACATTTCCCATCTTTTCACTTGTCATCCGAGTGCACGGATAATGAAAATTGGTGCGAGAGGAACCCCTTGATCACCTTTTAGCATCCAGCCATCTCCTGCTCAAGCCAGTCCACTGAGTAGGGGACTGTCTCACCTCTGTCTCCTAAGAGCTTGTAGTAGAGCTGTTTGAAAGGTGGTGGGTACTTAGAAGCCAGCAAACTCCCAAGCTATTTTTAGCTCTTGCTGGTGCTCCCTGGCTGTACCTGCTAAGAGTGCTCTCTCTCTGTCATCCAAGTTGTTAATAAATATGCTAAACTTTATTAGCCCCATACGGATACCTAAGGGACAGGGACATCACTAGTGACCAGCCACCAGCTGTACTACTGATCCCAACTCTCTGAGCCTCGCCTGCATTCTGAACAATCTTCTACCCACTCGATCATCTACCTTGCTAGTCTGTATCTCACTCATTTACCTACAAGGATACTGTGGGAGATGGTCCCAAAGTCAAGGTAATAAATGACATGCACTGCTTTCATGCTTTGAGGAGATAGCCCTTGAAGAACAGCCAGCTCTCCTGGGCCCCTTTGCTCTCCAGGAGAGCTCCCTTTGGGATCCTGCCAAGCAGATCCTTGAATGAGATGAAACCTGCCCACCTGAAGGCAAAGGCAGTAATGCTATTTATGCTGCTGACTTCTTGCAGGATTTAATATTCCACAGTCTCATGGTTACCCTTGACCATCATGTCCTGGACCAATTCTGCCTTTTGTGGATAGCAAACCCAGCAGAGCATCTCCTCTAGTTGTCTCATTGATTGCCTGTGTCAAGAAATTGGCTTCAGCACACTCCAGAAACCAGCTGGCTTGTGCCCAATCATACAGCCTTTCCAGTTAAAGTACAGGTGCCAGTTCTAATGCCTGTAATTGTGTGAGATGGTTCCATTGACTTGCTCTCTTTGATCAGCTGGTCTGTAGTGAGTGCCCACCACAACATTGCCCACGTTGCTTTGCTGCCTTCTCCTTGCCCAGAAGTACTTGACTGGCTCATCACTTGGGGTGATGAGCAAAGCTCTGGGCATTCTTCTGCATAAAACACTACTGCTCCACACCCTTTCCAGCCTGCCTTTCCTGAAAGGCCTATGTCCATCTGTGGCAGCTCTCCAGTATGTGAACTATCCCACCATGCCTCTGTAATCCTAAAGAAACCATCATTCTGTAGTTATGTCGGGGCTGGTAATTTCCCCTCTCCCCTCGTTGTTTCCTGTGCTGCATGTGTTTGTTTACAGATACTTGAGAAGAACCCTGAATCACGATGCTTTCACAAGGAACATAAGATCATACAGGATCATAAGATCATAGAATCATTTTGGTTGGAAGAGACCTTTAAGATCATTGAGTTCAACCGCTAACCTTGCACTGCCAAGGTGCGACTAAACCATGTCCCTCAGCATCACATCTACCCGTCTTTTAAATACTTCCAGGGATGGTGACTCAACCACTTCCCTGGACAGCCTGTTCCAGTGCTGTAGAGACTCCAGTGAGGGGATGTCTGGACACAGACAACGAGCATTGAGGTGCTTTTTTGGGCCGGGGGAACTCGAGGCCCTGGCTGCCTACCAGCGTTGACTGCACAATCTTTGCAGGTGCATCACTTTGCAGCCTGAGCTCTCCATCACTCTTGCAGCAACTGCTCCATTAGGAGCTTTTCTCTGATCACGCCAAGATCACAGATCAAACTGTGAAGGGTTTACTGCTTCTTTTTAGCTAGAACTAAGTGTCATAAGAGCGAGCTTTATTGATCTCTGATGGCAGTGATGCCAGAAGCACATAGCTGTGCTGTTTTAGGAAATACTTTGACTATCTCCGTAATTGTCTTTGCATTATTGCTGCCTTAAAGGCTGGAAATTCAAGGCTCCTTGCAATACATGTGTTTTCTCCTTGTAGCTGAGCTGTATTCTACAAAAATCAAGGTCATCATGCTGACTGACATTTGGAGTTGGACAAAGATTGTTTTTCCCAGAAACATAAATTATTTTTAAAGTCTCAGGTTCCAATCTTAGGCTAATTTCTGTGACAAGTCCTTTCTGTAAGCAAAAGCTTCACTTAAACTGGGCGTTCTCAAGCTCCAATGGGACAAATACTCAGCCTTGCAAACAGAAACCCGGACGGTTTTTGTTTAGGAGCTGCTTCTCCCTTGACTTGTCTGTACAAACAAGAAGGCAACAGATTTAAATAAACTCTTTCAAAATCGCCCCACGAGAATGCAGCAAGACTGGACTGATTGTTGTGAACTGTGATTCCACCTCAGCTGTGGGGAAGGGCACCAAAACACCCGCACCTCACCCAGCCCCATCCCGTGGAGGGCACCGCTGCCAGAGCTGTCACCAGCCGCCGGGACAAAGAGGCCTCTGAGCTCTGGCTTTGGAAGAGGAGGAGGAGGAGGAAGAGGAGGGATGACCCTCATCACCACTCCCCCAAGGCTGAGCTGAGATGAGGAGGAGTTTTGGCTTTGAGCCCAGTGCCATATTCAGAGGCCAGAAACTGCAGGGAGAGAGGAGCAGGGAGACAGAGAGTCTGCGGAAGAGGAGGAAGCAAGGAGAAGAGGGCA